GGGGGGGGGTGTAAATATAATTCTGTTAAGATTTGTTCTGTTGAGAAAGCAGTTCAGGAAGGAAGACCTTTCTGAGAGGACGGTTGGTGGAAGAGCTCTGTGCAGTTCTAGTAAATGATAGCTCATGATTACTTCACCTTTGACACTTCTTCACTGTCCCTGGAGCAGAAACGACTGAACTCCCAGTGGAATCAGTGATTTCCTACCCAGAGTGCCGTAGTATTTCCTCCCTCCCCGTCTTCTTTCAGGGATTCTACCTCTCTCACTCTTTGTCTCGCCCTGATCCAGTTCCCATTCCTGTCCTTTTTCTACCCATTCTTTACGTGTCACTCTATCAGTGAGATGGTAACTGCTACAGACAGGCAGGACATTTGCATCTTGAGAGTCCTGAACATCACCCCGTTTCTCATCTCTTCATTCCTGTCTCAAGTTCAGGGTTGGCTTTGCTGTTGTTGAGAGGACTGTCGTGGAGAATGTCACCGAGACCGACAGGAAGGCAGTGACACGGAGACAAGAGAAAACACCGACCAAAGAACGATTGCAGTGCCGTGGGTGGTGCCTGATGGCTGACTCACCTCGGTGACTCAGTCTCACCAAGACCAGTACAGAATGAAAGCCATTATTTTAGTCAAATGTGTTTGAAGTGCAAGGACAAACCATCGCTCAGCGGCAGAGCATTCACGACTAATCTATCTTTTTCTTTTCAAAACATCAGGGCTTTCTTTTAGAACACCTTTGTATTTGATTGAGAGCGCAGCAGCGTTAGAGTTATGTGTCGTTTTATATTTGGTTCTCAACACGGCATGACATATTACTCAAAAAAAAAATAAAAATAACCGACTAGTGTTTTATGAATTTACAATTGTTTTTTGGTTTTACATCAGCAACAGTTTTCTCTGAACCATGAAGAATCACTGTCAGCCAAGGGTATAAAAAAAAACCTTAAATACCACGTGCTGCTAGTGTGATTGCTGACACAGTCAGTTGTGTCAAGTCCCAGTATGGGTGAATATTTCAACAACCACACTCCAGGCCTACAGGGGGCGACCACGTGCAGGAGAGGTGATGAAACCCAAACCAGGAAGTCCAGTTCCTACAGGGACCTGGTCAACCTGCGCACCCAGAGGAAGTAGGACTGAGGACTGAGGACTGTGGACCAAGGACTGTGGACTGTGGACTGTGGACTGAGGACTGTGGACCAAGGACTGTGGACTGAGGACTGTGGACCAAGGACTGTGGACTGAGGACTGTGGACTGAGGACTGTGGACTGTGGACTGTGGACTGTGGACTGAGGACTGTGGACTGAGGACTGTGGACTGTGGACTGTGGACTGAGGACCAAGGACTGAGGACTGAGGACTGAGGACTGTTTGGAGAAAGCTTTTCTTCTTATGACACTTGTTTGATTGAACCTGCAGAAAGTTCCGGAAGTTGACTCCACAAACCCAGATTGTTGCACCAGGTGAGGTGAGTCAGAACTGCTGTAACTGAATTTTCAGCATTTTCTTCATCCACCAGAGAAACCGTGTTTCAAAATGATTTACTGTCGTTTGAATCAAAGTCCAAATCTGGACTTTAATTCAAAAACAAATGTGTGAATGATATAAATGAACAACAGTAGAAAAACCACAGACACCGTGATTGAAGTGGTGTCCCACAGACCCGAATCAGTTAAACAATAAGAGTAATTTATTGTCTCTGAAGTTGCCTTTGTTGATTCAAGTGTTTAGCATCTTTTATTTACACAGCTTATTAGCCAGAAGCCGATAGGAAAACGGCAGAGTCCCAGTCAGATTCCCATAAGGCTTTGCTTCGTGTCAGGCATCGAGCCAAACCCCAGCACCAATCCATATCCCTGCGTCTGCTAATGTTGTCATGAGCCAGTCAGAAGGTAAGATGATAACTTTTTTTCAGTCTTGTTCCCAAAGGGTTTCACTACTGAGAGCATTAAGCAATAGGCAATTTGTGTGTGTGTGTGTGTGTGTGTGTGTGTGTGAAGAGCCTATAGCGCTGCGATGTAACAAAGCAATATTTAAATCCACATTAGTAAAAAAAAGAGTGTGATTATGTGTGTGTTTTATGTTCTTATTAAAATGGAAATGTAGAGTGAGTCTGGAGGAGCTCCCCCTTCAGGAAACATGTAAAACATCGACCTTTATTTATCTGCTCCAGCTCCCTGCTCCTCTGTGAAAGCAGAGCAGGACGGTTTTTACCTAAATTATCTCTAAATTTGATTCTGCGAGTGAAAAACTGCAGTTCTTTTCCCCTGCTTGTCTTTCTTTTCTTTATGTTTGCAACCTGCTCGGTGTTGCATTAGTAAAAATGTGACCTGACCGGGAGCAGACCCAGGAGGTCAGAGGTCAGAGTGCTGCTGTGAAAACCTAAAAACCAGATTTTAAATTGAAGATACCGATTGGCCAATATTATCAGTAGGGATGTCCGATAATATTGACCAACTGACGTCTGATAATAACGGCCAACTGATATTATCAGCCTATTAGCCTATTAGCTAATAGCCCTTTTAGCTTAATTTTGTAATATCGGTAAGAATTGTTATCGGGACCTACTCCGTTTATACAAACCCAATAAGGTTTAAATGCTTGGGTTTCGCCCAGATGATGTGACCTACAAATCGTTTTGTCATTGTGACACAGCACACCACTGCACACAATGAAATGTGTACTCTCCCTTTAACCCAAACTACTGCATAGAGTATATCAGTATCGGTTGATATCGGAATCAGAAATTAAATGTTTGGACAATATCGGTCGATGGGAATCAGCTAAAAGTTCACGTCAGAGATCCCTAATCAGAATCAAGCAGTTTCTTAGTTCTCAGTTCGTGTTAGTGGGTAAATAAATAACTGAAGAAGACCCTGAGGAGCCTGTTGGGTTTTTAATAAAACACCAGAGCAGATGGTCGTGTGATCTGGGACATGCTCAGTCACAAGGAGGGGAAGAGGGAGAGAGAGCCAGACGCAAAGAGAGAGAGAGCGAGAGCCTGTAGCTGTGTGCAGAACTTCAGATGAACTCCTGAGTCAAACTCTGTCTCTCTGAGTAACCACAAATGTCTTCTTCGGAGAATTCTCTCTTTTTTCAACTTATCTCTGATTTATTTCTCCCGGCGTCGTCTTTCTCTCCTGGAGCGCACCTCGCAGGTTTGTGCTCCAACTGCCTGACACCGTGATTCAGCTCACTGCTCAAATCACAATCGATTCGTCTCCGAGACAAAGCAGATGCTTTTCTTCCCCAAACCCTTACGTTTCTCTCTCTTGCCCCGTCCGTCCATTTTAATCATTCACATCTCTGTCTTTTCCCCTCGTGTTTCCAAAACAATTTAAATCCAACAGAAAGGCAGGTGGCAAAACAGTGAGGGCAAAAACCATTGATAGTACTAAAGATTCCCTGTTCTTAACTTAAGATTTATTTATAGTTACAAGAAAAAAACATAACATTTGACTGACTTGTAGCTACAGTACTAGTGAACAGTAACTTGAATAATATAAATAATTAGTAGTACTACTACTAGTGGGGTCTAAATAAGAAACTATTCTTATTGCAGTGTATTTGTGTACTACTAGTGGGGTCTAAATAGGAAACTATTCTTATTGCAGTGTATTTGTAATGATATTTTGAGAATAATCAGTACAACTTAATATCAGTATTTTTTTTATTATTCTGCTTTTCTGGATAATGAGACCTTTAACAGTTTCAAGAATCTTTTTTTTTCTTTCACTTTTGTTCCACTTTGTGAGTGTCAACAGACCACTGTCTTCCACTTCAGGCCAGGAAGACAGATAGGATCATGTCCACATGGTTTCAGAGAGACAGAGACGGACATCGAGGCCTATGCTGGTAAACGGACAATTATTTTCTGGTTCCTGCTGGATGTGAAAAAACAGTGGGATCTACAAAAACAGATTACGCTGTGATTGAGTTGACTACGTTTCCGATGAGATGAAAACAGACACTATCTGCCCCAGTTTAACATACTGTTCTGGGAGGCTGTGACTCCATATCAAACCATTTCATCTGTTTTGCTTCAAGTCAACTGTCAATGATTGTGTGTGTGTCCTGGTACAACTACAGTTAGAGCTACACCGTTGTTGTTTTAGGTGTTTTGATGAACTCCAAAATCTATTTTGGAGTTCAGATTTGATTGAGGTCAGAATGAGCAAATAAATGATAAACCCATGTCAAGTGTTTACCAGTGCATGTGTGTCTGTTCAGCCCGCAGGTAGTAACGGGGGTTTGTTCTGCGTGGCATCAACAAACGAACAGACGGCTGTAATCAACAGATGGCTGTTGCTCTTTCTGTGTTTGGCCGTAAAATCAACTCTTGGAAAATTAATGCCGTCAAACGGCCACACTGTTCTGTGTAGTTACTCCGTCCGAGGAATACATTTTCTCCCAGGTTAGTGACATAATCCAGCGGCATCGAGGTCACATTGAATGATGTCACAGCCTGTGATAGGTCACATGTCAGACGTGCTGCGTTGTACCTCATGCTCTTTTACTGGACATCACCAACTCACTGTTCAGTTGATTCAAACGCCAACAGACAATAATAGCAAACAACAATAGATATTTATTTACGATTTAATTACAATTACAATTTTGTAATTATAAATACTGTGGATTTGTCACTGATTACCAAAAATCCTCTGTTTCTGATGTTAGCATAATTATGTAATATCTGTAATATCAGTTTTTCCTCCGATAATGAAAACCCGATAACTCAATGCCTGGGTTTCGTCAAATGACCTGTGCCCAAAAAATAGTTTTGGGGGAAAACGGCTGTATATGACAGTAGGAGTCACTAGATGGCAGCATTGTAGCTCATTGTATGCAGAATGCTGGTGCCAGCAACTCATACAGTGGTTTGTTCCGATAAATAATTAAATACTACCTTTATTGGTATCGGGATATCGGAAATTAAGTGTTTGGACAATATCGGCACTAAAGTTAATATCGGACATCCTTATATTACAATCGTAATCACCACCTCTCCTCCGCTCACGGCCAAACCATCTCCACGCCTGGAGACCACATGACCTATGACACGATGATGACGCGCTGTCGTCATCGTGGCGGGGTCACGTCAGTAAACACGGGCTGTGTGGGCAGTTTACTTTTTACCATCTCTGAGATTTACAGTCTGCAAACACAGCTCGAGGTGCCAGCTGAGAGGGACAGATTGTGAGCCTACATCATGCTGCTGTAATCCTCCGCTGCTCGAAAAAAGCCACTAAACCCCCAAAAAGTAAACTGCTGAAGTTGAAGAAAAATTTAAAAAAAAGTATTTTTGTGTTGACTGAACTCCTGGCTTCTTACCTTTCATGCCAAACTTAGAGCGCCGTCCGTACTTGTTGATGAGGAGAAAGAGAACCACCAGCATCACACAGGCGAATCCTGCCAGGCCGACTGCTATGGAGATCTAGAAGGACGGACACCTGACAGTTAGACAGCTGCAGAGTCAAGAAAGGGAGATTAATCTGAATGTCTGCAAAAGAAAAAAAAATAAATGAATGAACGATTTGGCCGTGGCAGAGATTATAACGTTAATGAATATCCTACGTTTACAGACTGGATTTTTACTCTGATCCAATTTGCAGCAGTGACTCTGAACAGAACACTAATCAATATGGAAAAAAAAAAGTAACAAAAGACTGAGAATACACTCTGTATTCTCCTCCAAATAATTCATCAGGCTGAATTTCTGTCATTTGTTTCTGCACCGCGTCAATAGATTGACCTTTGCCCTCGAGGTTAATTTTCCCAGACCGTTACCATTACGATAAAGTTGATGTAAGACAAAACATTTTTGGTAACATTTTGTGAACAATTTTAAAATCAGAAAAGAAAATCTTTTTAATCTTTAATCTTTTAATCAAACTTGATCCTAGGCCTGTCAAAGCATGCATGGCTGTTTGTCTATTTTACCGTTTGAACAGACTGGATTGTATTAACAGGAGTGTTTTCACTTGAATGGACCACAGGTCAAGGCTTTACTCTTTTATATTCCTGCAAAGGAACGTGTTCAATTTCTTGTTGATTTAGAATTTTTTTCCTTCAGAAGAAGAGAATGAATGCACAGACAGGGTTGTGTGGTGTCACGTGCTCTTTGTTTAAAGGAAGTAGAGAGATTACTACGTTAGACCAACATAATTATTCTTCCTCTTCCTGGAGGCGTAGTTTTTATTTCTATGAATTCCTTCCTTCCTCTCTCTCTCTCTCTCTCATTTCTATGAATTCCTTCCTTCCTTCCTATCTCTCTCTCTCTCTCCTTCCTCTGCTTTGGTTCCTTTATTGAGTAAACAATATGATTTCATCCGTCCTACTATGCGTTGTCGTCATGGTGTTGTGTCATAAGTGTGAATTCCAAAACCCGCCAATCGCACGGCCATCTGTGTCTCCAAAGGAACGGAACGCAGATAAGGGACGAACGCACACACTCCGCTGCGCTCCTTCACGGACACTGACTTCTAACATCAACTTTTCTGAGTCAATTACAGGAAGGAGATGAACTCAATTACACTTCCCATCAGCCCGTAGACCCCCCCACCTCCGGTCACCCGGGGGGGGGGAGGGGGGAGGGTCTCAGTGGACAGAATGAGACAAAATGACTGATAGAAATATTTCTGAGAGGAAGCGACTCAAAAAGAGTTGAAGGAATTAGCAGCTCATTGTACATATATATATATATATGTTGTATAAAATTGTATATATTACATACAATATATACAACATATATATTTATGTATACAGGATATTACTGTGTATCACGGAGTATATATATTTGTGTTTACATTTGCATAAAATCTTCAACATTTTCTTTTGTATTCTTCAGTGACTATTCAGTCTTTTGTAAACCAAAAAAAAAAAAAAAAATTCCAAATAATGAATATTTCCATCACTCACCCCAGTTGTGTCCTCTTCAGTTTTTTCAGGCTCTGGAGTTGGAGGAGTTACTGTAAAACAGCACAGGATAAAAGGGGATTTAAACCAGCAAACACAAACTTTATGGACAATGTGTTGAATATCTCTTAAAAAATCCTGTAAAAAAATGAATGAACCTCAAGTACTTTTCCTAGCTTTAAAACTTTAAAACTGTGAATTTTCGACAATTAATTTCCTTTTTTTTAACCGTCAGGTTGTTTTCACATCTACATTTTTGTATCTAACGTTTTCTGAACTGAAGTTTTCACCAAGAGAAAAAAAAGCTGTCAGTTAGTACTTAAATAATTCTTGTTTTAAACTTTTACACCATTACAAAAACGAACCCAGTGAATTCTAGAGAATCTGGATTTTGCTGAGCGTGCACGCTGCCTTGTCAGCAGCCCAGTCTGCAGCTGGAGGTGGAATGATGTGTGGAATGTTTTCTTGACACACAGTGAAGTCTAAATACAAATCAATTTCACGCCATGACAGGTTTTTGTTACTTGTTTTGTTCAAAGCTTTACACAGCGTACGAAATGTGAAATCGATCCCCCGACACTGGGTGACAGAACACGAGGACTGGCGCAGCTACTGAGCCACAGCAATGAATCCCAGGTACAGAGGCACAGGAAGTGGACCACGTCTTAATGCATGACGATTTGTCCTAGAACCAAAATGAAATTCCACTTCTGCTGTTATTGACGGGCGATTCCTGAACTTTGTGATTCAATACGAAACCCATTACTTTCTTTTATTTTTTTTTCATTTTTTTTAACCCAATCAAAGATGGACAAAGACTTGATCACATGGAGTCACCGCTCTCTTCTGGTCAGTGGTCATGTGACATGAACGGTCAGTTCAACTGTGGGGGGTAAGTTTTCCTAAAAGATTTGGAGGTGACACATGCAGTTTTTTTTCCATTTATTGATGAGTATTACTACATTATGAGAGTAATCGATACTCTTTGAGTAATGATTCATCGATGAATGAATCATTACTCCTGACAACTTTGCAGTTCTTTCATCAACTTTCACCAAATCAAGCCAGACTGCTTGTAAACCTGTTAGCATTTCTTTGCAACTTCCTTCCAAAATTAAGTAAAGATATCGAATGAAACAAAGTCCTTACCGTAATCATAATCCGTCGAACCTGTGTGGAAAAAGTAAAACAGAAATAAGAACTTGAACACATACTTTGTAGATAGAGTGAAGTTTTTACTGGGGGGAAGTGTAATGCTAGAAATAGAGCACGTGTGAAAAAAATCTAAATACAGAAGCGCCCCGTGAACAGGCTTATCACCTGTGTTCTGAGTACAGCCCTGCTTTAGTCACTGCATCTCATTCACACTTGGACTAAATATAAGCTGCTTCTTTTTTTTTTTTTTTCACCACATCACCCCGAAACAGTCAGAGCGCCGCTGACAAAACCCAGGAAAGATCACACAAGGAAGCCGGTGGCTGTGACACCTCACGGCGAAGGTTCTTTTTTTAATTATCACTTATAATGTGGAAACCTAAGAAATGTAAGCAAAATATAAGAGTGAAAAAGGTCCACTTCACACTACGCTTATACTGAATACAGTCGTCCCTCGGTGTATCGTGGTTCGGCTGACGACTCTCAGTGCATCGTAGGTTTTTAATATTATAAATGTGTTCTTTTATTGCGAATTTTTGCGGTATATAAAAAATTCATTATATATTCATTATTATTTTCGTGATAAAATATACATTTTCTCACCTAAAAAAGTAAAACAAATACATTTTGTAACCCACATACAGGGTATAACAAGACTTACCATCGAAGGGTCTGTCCAGGAAATGACCGTACACGGTGCTGGTGGCTACGCCCAGGTAGTTGGTGGCTTCCAGGGTGTAGTTGCCGTTGTCGTGGTGGGTGGGGTTTTTAAAGGTAAGACAGCCTTCGATGTAGTCTTGAAAAATGTCCATATCAGTCCGAATGTACTCGGAGTGGGGAATTTCCTGAGTAAACGAGAGAAAGAGGAGACGGTGGAAATAGAATCAAAGTCCAAAGATTCTGAAGCTGTGTTTATTCTGAATACATGTGAGGCTGCTCCGGATGGGTTCGTTTATACTGAATTTCTGAGAACAGCGTAATGAAGAAAACAAAATCGTCCTCTGGGTCCAGTACCGTATTTTCCAGACTATAAGTCGCACTTTTTTTCATCTTTGGCTTTGGTTTGTGACTTATACTCAGGTGCGACTTATATATTAAAATATATAATTTCACGTTTGTTATTTTCACACTGCCAGCCGCTAGGGGGCACTCTAGGCTTGTGTACCAGTATCTGCTACCCCTGTACCACTGAAAATTTACATGTTTGTTATTTTCACGCTGACATATACGTACATACATGACATACACGCGACTTATAGTCCAGAGAATACGATATGATAATGATGTTAGACCAAAATGGGATTTTAATGATGTTCGACCAAAATGGGATTTTTATTACATTTTATTTGAGTATCCGCCCCCCTAGGCGTCTGTCCAGAAAAATTCTAGCCCTGCGACAAATATATTTGGTGACCTCTGCTTCAGACCTAGCCAAGTATGGGCTAAGAAACATGGACCTGCTGGCATAACACAAACCTTGTTCTTGAAGATGACATTAAATGCTAAAAAAAAAACATAAAAAAAAATCTGTAGCGATTTTACCAAACTTTATAGATACAAACCTGGTCTTTGCGAAACAAAACTGTGGCGGTTTTACCAAGCTTTATAGATACAAACCTGGTCTTTGCGGAACCACCGTAAGGTCGGGTGGGGCGACCCCCGGACGGTGAATTCTATGCAGGTGTCATGGCGGCGCTCTGGCTCCTTCAGCCTTATGATAGATGGAGGAACTGCAGAAACATAGGAAACAGGAAGACATCATCACGCTGCTGAGTTTGTAACACAAATACACACAGTACTGCGTTTTATTGTACTCCGTTGTCACATCTACTGGCAAGACGCTGAAAAATGTGCACCGGGTGGTTTGTCATCTGGTTTAACGCTGCGTTACCGCGCGCAGGAGCCAGACAGGAACACAGACCTGAGTTACCATTTTAATACAGTGGTCTCATCACAATCTGCTGCCATTGATTTTCCATTTGCGGAGTGTGTGTCCTCTTCTTGGATTTCCTCTTTGTTTACCAACATAATTGCAGAAGGCAGAGCTGTTTACCAGGGCAGTGTCAGTGTTTCACCGCAGCCAAATGGATGATATTCAAAACAGCAGTCATTAGTCCATGTAACACACACACACACACACACACACACACACATTACTTACTTGTGTGTTTGTGTATGTGTCTGTCTTTGTGTGCAGTGTCTCACTGGTCTTTATCCTACATTTGAAGTCTAATATCTTTGACACTTTGTCTTTGCCAAATGCAATCATTTCTATAGAATAGAATAGAAGTGAAAACCTTTGTTATCAATGCTTAGCAATAACGCATTGATATTTATTGTTGATATTGATCATTTTGTCACATTGTCACGTATCATTTTAGAGAGTTTCAATCCTGCACAAAAACCGTGTTTTAACTTTGTTCTGTCAGCCAGACCTGCAGAATAAGATGTGAATAAATCATCTGCTTTATCGGCTGATGTCTGTAAAATCCCCCTCAGTTGTGTATGAGGAGGTTGACTGATTAGATTTGTGCACATTCAACAAGTCATCAACACCTGTTTGACTCCCTGGAGCTGAGAGCTTCACGACTTAAACACAAACAGTTCCTGATGAAAAATCTCAGCTACATTTTATTTAGTGGAGTTTGAAAATGGAGAAATTCCCAATATCTCTATAACACATTATAACTGACGAGGGCTGCAGTTTGTTATCGTTATTACGGCTGTTTGTCATGACATACAACCTCAGTAAAAACCCTGGTTCTTCCAACGGTCGACTTTCTCTTCTTTAAGAATAAACCGTGCCGCTGCTGCAGAGCTGGAACGATTTGAGGTGAAGTTTTTCTTCATCTGCAGCCATGCGATAGTTTTTATGTCACAGACATCATTTTTAAAGTCAATATATTTACATTTTTCTGCCCGGTAATTGGCATCTCACGGCACATGATCTCGTTATCACGGCACCTTGAACCCACAGATCTTCTCGCTCTGATAATCAATACACAGTGCATTTGTTTTCTTTTCCCTACGTCCCGGTGCAGAGAGAGAGAGAGAGACGTGTGGATGGAATATGATGAATGTGTCGAGGCGCAGGTCGTCTATCCTGCCGGCTCTACTATTAATACGGTTCGAGCCTCAAACGGTTGCCGCTGCTCTCACTTCACGAGAGGGAAGTTCAATATCCAAGCACGGCGCACTCACGAATGCAGAATGAATTCCCCGACAGTGTCCCCACTGAGGCTCAGTGTTTTAAATTCAAGCCTCCAGGTGTGCAGGGATGGGTTTGAAAATAAATGCTGCCTCCGTCAGTGGTATGTTGTTTTGGAAAATACTGTAGAAAGGTAGGGATGTCCGACATTACCTTTTAGCCGATACAGGTGTGCAGATATCGTCCAAACACTTAATTTCCAATTCCGATATCAACCAGTACTGATAAAGGTCTGGTAATATTTATTTATTGATCTGTACAAACCACTGTATGAGTTGCTGGCACCAACAACTGATTATTACAAATTATAATAAAATGAGCTGCAATGCTGCCATCTAGTGAACTTAACTTTAATATACAGCCGTTTATCCCCTAAACTATTTCTAGGGCACATGTCATTAGACGAAAATTATGCTAATATCTGTGCATGTGTGTGTGTGTGTGAGTGTGTGTGTGTG